TATCCTAAATAAAATCAATAAAATATTACTATTTTTAATGTGCTTAAACCGGAATGAAACTTATTTTTTCAATATTAGTTCAAGTTTTAGAGATACGGTAATTATATGTGTTCTTGCTGTGACTGTTAATATACTGTAATTCACAAGAATACACGTGCTACATTTTTATATTCGGCAAGGAAATATGATGTAATCGGCATGATTGTGTTACGTTATACATACGTGTACATTATATTGTTTTATATTAGCCATTTTTTCCTCAGTTGGCTGGCAGCGTTCATGCAAGATGTCTCGAAAGTGTGTAAACAATCCAGATCAGTTTTGTTACGTGTGTGGTGATGTGACTTTTGCGTCTCAGAGACGGTCTATTACTCCACTAATAACAAAGGCATATCAGCTTTATTTTGGTTGTAAACTAGGTGATCAAGACAAACAGTGGCCACCCCACATCTGCTGTAATACATGTGCTTCAAGTCTGAGGAGCTGGTTAAATGGCAAAAAACGGTCTATGCGCTTTGCTGTCCCAATGGTTTGAAGAGAGCCTACAAATCATATTAATGATTGTTACTTTTGCATGGTACCTTGTGTTGGACAAGCCACAGGTATGTCCAAGAAAAAAAAATCGGTTATTAACTACCCAAAAATACCATCTGCGATGAGACCTGTGCCTCACAGTGACGAAAATCCTATTCCAAAACCCCAGAATCCTACACTTGCGAATCAGAAAAGGAATCAGATCATGGCGATCGAGTGATTCGTCAGAAAGAAGATATGCCATCAACGTCAAGAGATCCTGATTTTATACCGAGCACGCCATGCCACCAACCGCACAAAATAACACAGTCAGAATTAAATGATCTTGTAAGAGATTTAGAACTTCCAAAATGTAAGGCAGAGTTACTTGGATCAAGACTGCAGCAGTGGAACTTGTTAGAAGACGATGTTTCAGTATGTGTTTTTCGTAAACGCCACAAAGACTTAGAACCATTTTTCAATATGGAGAATAACTTGGTTTTCTGCAGTAACATTGGCGGCTTACTGGCGGCTTTAAATATAAACTATAACTCAGAAGAATGGAGATTGTTTATAGACAGTTCAACATTGAGTTTAAAGGCAGTGTTATTGCATATTGGAAATATTTTACCATCTCTTCCTGTAGGGTATGCAGTTCACATGAAAGAATCATATGACAATATGAAGTACCTATTGACATGCATAAAATACAATGAGCACCAATGGCATATTTGTGGCGATTTGAAAGTTGTTGCACTTTTACTTGGGCTGCAGCTAGGCTACATAAAGTTTTGCTGTATTTTGTGTGAATGGGACAGTCGGGCAAAGGCACTTCATTACACCAGACAAAACTGGCCTGTTCGTCAATTCCTAGAGCCACATCAAAAAAATGTACAGCATATGCCATTAGTAGATTCGAAAAAAAATTTATTACCACCACTGCATATCAAGTTGGGCCTAATGAAAAACTTTGTCAAGGCATTAGATAGAGATGGGTCAGCTTTTCAATACCTGCGTCAGAAATTTCCAAGACTAAGTGAGGCAAAGGTTAAAGAAGGTATTTTTGTTGGGCCACAGATTCGAAATATTTTGAAAGATACACAGTTTGAAAACACTTTAACAGGTATTGAAAAGACTGCTTGGAATGATTTCCGTCTGGTGGTCACTAATTTCTTGGGAAATAGAAAAGCTGACAACTATAAAACCCTTTTCAAAAATATGCTGTGGTCGTATCAAAAGATGGGCTGTAATATGTCTCTTAAGATACATTTCCTACACTCACACCTGGACTTTTTTCCTAACAATTGCGGAGCCGTAAGTGATGAGCACGTCGAACGTTTTCATCAGGATATTTCAACAATGTAAAAAAGGTACCAGGGAAAGTGGAATCCTTCCATGCTTGCAGACTACTGTTGGACTCTTGGTAGAGATGCTCCAGAAACGATCCATAAAAGAACAGCAAAAATACAGCGCATATAGTGATTCTTATAAGTATATGAATCTTGTTACTTTTTTTAATATATCCTTAAAAATAAAAAGTTTTTTTCTAAACCGCAACTAATTTTTTTATTTCATTGTCATTTTTGGATTCAGCGCCCCAAAATTAACAAAGAAGTGCACTTTTCCCACAAGATACAATTAAAAAACTAAAATTTGTTGTCCAGTGATATCGGTGATTTCTATTGAAATGTTGAATAGATTCGTAAAGAAATGGTTGCCTTACAAACAAGGATGCATTATTGATTTAATATTGTCTTTGTGCTTTAGAATTAGGATAACTTTAATAGAATTTCAAATGTTTATCATTTCACAAAAGACGGTCAGTTATTTGGTAGGTTGTTTTCACTGTTTTTGACGACTGTTCATGCATGGCAATCTAGTTTTGTCTGTATATCACGTACAGGGTGTTGTACATTATACGTACCTGTAGAAATGTACCGATTTTTGTTATTTTGTAAAAAAAATGATATAAAACGTATTACAACTGGTTCATCAGCTGTTGTTACATCAAAAACAATTTTTGCCAGTTTATGATCTATAAATGCACACCAAATGTAAACAAACAGCACATTCTGCATTTCTAGGTCCTAGAACATCGATATTTGTAAAAGTATCCGCATCCACCTATTATTCATCGTCTAGATATTATAAGTCAGAATCAAAAATACCTATTTATGAAAATATATCTCAAAACATTGTTATATTTTCTTATTATTTCTATTATTATAGCACGTCTGGGATATCAATTACTTTTAAAGTGATCTGCACATTTGCGGTGTTTCCGAACTGGCAAAAAAAAACGGAATCGGTAAATAGTGTCGTTGAATTCGGTATAAGGTAAATGCCGTCCCAAGATCAGTGGTAAATCAAGGACCTTTGAGTCACTAAAAACGTCTGTTATTGTATTGGGCGCGCATACAACATTTTTTTTGTTCTATATTACAACTTCTACAATGTGCTCTTTCAAGGTACTTTGCTACCATTCTGGAAACTCCTTTTTCGATTCTTGCTTATTGGATTGTGAATATTTTTCTGTTTTATCCCTGAACTCATGAACTCGCCTCTCATTTTAATTAAATATTTATTTTGAAAACAGACAGGTTTCGGTTTCTTTATTGCTTGTCCGGTGATGAGGTAATGATGGTAATCTACCAGTCTGTACCTTTTGTATGCACAAAAATCAATTCAGGGTAAGCGGGGCAAGGGATGAGGATGTGCATTCATAACCATAGGCAACCCAAATCTACGCCTGTACGATAAAATTATTCTATATAAAACTCCGCCTTATTTATATGATAAGATTACATTTTGAAGTGATGTTCACAATATCAATGTTCGGTATCGGAAGCTGAATTCCCAACCACGTCATGTTTAACAGATGTTTTTCTCATTTTATCTACCACTTGTATAATCACGTCCCCACAAACCTTAAGTTTATGTCTGTGTCAGCTTTTAAAAGAAGTTACAGAAAATTTCTGTTAGATGAATTGTAGTGTTTACTTTATTGTTCCTTTCCTTTTTATACTTTAAATGTTTTATTTTTTTGTTAAATCCGCCTAAGATGATTAGACATTTTTCGTTAAATTATATTTTTTATATAATTTCTTCATATACATATACTTTTTTGACGTTTGTGATTGTTATTTGTTGATTATTAATATTGACTTATACGAGTATAATTTGGTTAAGAACTCTTCTGTTGTAATTTTGTTTGTTGGGCTAGTAGTTTTTGTATGGCCTCATTCTCAATAAAATGGACTGTCAAAATTTACTTGAAAAAATATGTTTCCGCGTTCCAAGGCTAGGAAGTCGACAACAAACGGCATTCTATTGTCAAGCTGGCCGTACAAATGTTATGACAAAATCGCCAATTAATCTCATGTGCTGCGTCATGAACAGTGTTACTGAATCGTGTGATATTTACAGTTGTAACGTTTCCTTTCCGCAAAAAGTCCAGAAAAGATGGAATGCAATGAAGATTCCAACTTTTCTGCACAATCACAGAAAGGGGGTTGCCATTAGCTTCCGGTAGCTCAGTCGGTGGCATGAAGAAATCTACAGGCGTGTAGCTGTGTGTCGACCATGGCATGGCTAGAGGATAGAAGAACAAACAGAACACAAAAATTCAACAGATTTTATTTAACAAAAAAAAGCATTTTCATTGCATTACAATTTTACAGTTTTAAAGAACAAAATAAGTTTTACATCTTTGGCGCTGCTATAAAACTATCAACTTATCTTTCGCTGGTCCATTTTGACTCGACTGAAGCGAGGATGGCCAGGTGCTTGAAGTGGAGGTCCCAGTTATGAGGGGTGACCTCACATATAGTGGCTTCATAACCAGTTGTAGGCGAAGTTGAACTTAAAGGCGATGGCGCTGCCAAGGCACATGCATGGGTGAAGTGATAGGCCAAGCAACGCAAAGTCAAAGACTAAGGCAAAGGGAAAGGGAAAGAGAAAGGGAAAGAGAAAGAGAAAGGGGGTGGCCCCAATCATTTTGTCCTATTCGGACACACATTCTACAAAATTCTAGCACATGGTGCTATATGACCTTGTGCTACAGAGAAGAAAATTCTTAGCTCTTGTTCGATCGGCGGTTCAAGTGAAAAAAAAAAGCTAGAGATGGGATTAATGAAATGATAATCGAGAAGTGATTTAATAAATACGATCGGACGGTGAAACCGTCACACAGTGACAGTTGTGCATCGATTATTAACTGCTATAGATCATCCAATCTTATTTAGAATGTGTGATACAAGAACCATGTCTCTTTAGTTGTTATTTTTTTTTCAGCATTTCCTGTAATTGGGTTTCACCTGTTGGAAATAAATAAATAAATAAATAAATCTAGTACTTTGATCAGCTCGTCTGTTTTCTAGTCCCTTTTGCAGGGAATTCATGTTGTTTCTTCATTTTTATTTTTTCTCTTTGTGTTTTTTTCTCTGCAAATAAACGCTATTATTATTATTACCATTATTATTATTATTATTATTATTATTATTATTATTATTATTTTATAGCCGTAGGGCTTTGTTACTCCTGTTAATCGGGGTGTTCTGGTTTAACACGGACGTTTCAAGCATCAAAGGGATAAGCCTCAATAGTGACCTCACTAGGTACTTGCATTTCCCATAGACTTTCTTACTATGCGGGCAGTTGCCAGCAAAACTCCTTTCTGTATGATTTTGTAAATTTTTTCACCCAGTTCCAGCGCTTTGATGTTTTCTAGCAGGCTTCTTGGTATCACCCCTGTAGATGACATAATTATTGGTATTGTCTCCACGTACTTCATTTTCCACTGGCGTTTAATTTGAAATTCTAGCTCCCTGTATTTTGCAACTTTCTCATTATGTTTGTATGTTAAATTGTTACTATTAGGTATGGCCACATCAATCAGTGTTACTTTCTGGGCGCCCTTGTCGACAATGATTGTGTCAGGTCTGTTTTGTTTTATGTATTGGTCCGTAAGCACAGTGCGATCCCAGTATAGTTTATACTTGTCGTTCTCGAGGACACATTGCGTTGTATATTTATAGTACTGTAGCTTGCATTCGATCAGTTTGAATTTGTATGCCAACTCCTGGTGCTCTCCTTATAGTCCGTTGGAGCGAATGCGGCATCCACCAGTTACGTGCTGTATTGTTTCGGAGTCCTGACAGCCGTACTTGCATTTATCAGACTGTTGCAAGTTCTTAAGTATGAACCTCTTGTAATTGTTGGTAGGGATGACCTGGTCCTGTATAGCTACAAGGAATCCCTCAGTCTCAGGGAACATTTGGCCTGAGGTGAGCCAATAGTTTGACGCTTTCTTGTCAACGTTTTCTTGGCTAATCTCGTTTGCATGTCTCCCATGTAGAGGTTTTTCAATCCATCGTCGTAGCTTCTGTTCGTTGGTTTGGTGACTCGGTTGGTCATCTCGTCTACTAAGGTGTAAGGGCGTTGTGTCATCTACTGAGCATATGATGCGATACAGCTCAGAGATCTCGGCCTTCTCAAAGAAGTAGGATCGCAAGGCGAGTACCTGTTGAGCTAACTGCTTGCTGATCTCCATAAGACCTCTTCCTCCTAACTGTCGGGTTAAGGTTGTGCGCTGTATTGCACTGCGAGGATGGTGCGCTCCTCTTTTTGTCAGCATAGTCCTTACCAGCCTCTCTAGTTTCTCGATGTCAGTTTTGCTCCACAGAACTATACCGAACGAGTAGTTCAAGGCAGAGCATGCGTAGGTGCTAATCGCCTTGACTAGATTCTTACTATTGAGTTCTGTTTTCAGAAGTAGCCGTATTCTTTTTGTGAAGGTCTGCGATATAGCTTCCTTCGTTTTTTTGTGGTCTATCCTTCTGGCCTCCGCCATTCCATGGTACTTGTATGTGTCATTTGCGTCCGTTGTGTCAATGTTTTGGCCTCTGCAGCTTGAAAATCCTCCAGGGTAGATGTTCCCCCTACGTATAGATAAGGTTTTGTATTTATCCATCCCAAATCGGATACATTATGGATGCGTTCCTCTTGTCTTTCAGACTATATCCTTACCCTGTTGCATTTAAGAGGTTTGAGAGGGGATTTATAGCTAGGCAAAACCATAGGGGACTTAGTGAATCACCCTGAAAGAGACCTCTTCGGATAGAGATCGCCTCAGTTTGAATGGTGGTGGTCCAGTTTGTATGCAGTGTTATTCTAGTTCTCCATTTCTTCAGCATATGTTCTAATATGGCCACTACATGCTCTTATAGAGCCTCAGCACCCTGACAAGCCACTCATGAGGTACAGAATCGTATGCCTTCTGATAGTCGATGTACGTAATGTATAGGTTCCTTTTGTTGGCATAGGCTTGGTTACAGATGACTGAATCGATAGCCAGCTGTTCTTTGCATCCCATAGCTCCCTTAGTACAGCCTTTTTGTTGTGGCGCGATAATATCGTTTTCTTCACAATGAGCATAAATTCTCTTCGATATACAAGCAGTGACCACCTTGTATAGCGTAGGAAGGCAGGCAATTGGGCGGTATTTTGTTGGGTCTTCTGTATTATTGAGATCTTTTGGTATTAATACCGTTAGTCCTTGTGTTAGGAACGTTGGAGTCTTATTTGGATTCAAAAGCATGTCATTGATATATCTTGTTAGTTGTTCATGCATGCACCAAAGCTTCTTTATCCAGTAGCCATGAATCTGGTCTGGGCTCGGGGCCTTCCAGTTATGCAACTGCTTAACGATCTCCACTATTTCTTCTTCTTATTATTATTATTATTAATATTTATTATTATTATTATTATTATTATTATATGGGGCATAAAACTATGGAGACTACATAAAATTAACTTTTAGCTTTATTTTTGGTTTCAGCTCTTTTTCGGCAAGTATAGAAATATTTATATTATTCTGAAAAATTGTGGAGAATGATCTTATCGGTAAATATTCTCTTTTCGGTAAAAATACCGAAAAAACCGGTTAAAGTCCATGCATAGACAATCTGAAATTTGCAATATGAATTTATATTCTAAATTCTATGCATATCCGTTCATATTCGTCAATATTTCGTGTTAAGCTTTTATTTGTCGTAAGACTTTAGCAAAATGTAAGATAGTAAAGGCAACACCGCACCCTGCAGCCCAGTTGACAAGAACGACAAGCTGTCAAGATTAGGGATGTTTAGATCCACGAAAAGTATCGTTATGTATCGATTCCTTTCGTTTTAGGAAGTATCGATACTCTCAAATATTGGAATAAAATTATCGATATCCAGCGGAAGGAAACAAAGAAGAAAAGTAGGTAATCTGAAGTTAGTCACTCTTTCTGACACAGTCCGGATCGAAATATGACGATACTCGTGAAATGTATCGATAATTCTGAATATAAGATCGTATGGAACATCACTACTGTCAAGATGTATAACCCGAAATTTTAAATTTTCATTTGCATTTTTTCAAGTGTTGTGCAACGATTTTGGAAAGAATTCCACGTATAGTCTTATAAAGCACAGTAGAATATATTTCAATAGTTGGCGGAGCTTACTCTCCTGGGAGCAAGGGTTGACGGATCCCACACAAGTGTCACTCGTTGGGGAGTTTTGAAATGTAATAATCAGCTGTTATTCAAATAATGTCTAATATAAATATAACCAAAAATGTGTACTCAGTGAAACAAGAAAATTATTGCAAATTCTTTTTTTGCAGGTTTTAGGTTTACCGGTAGCTTTACAAGATATATTTGAGTATTTCTTAATCGCTGTAAATATAGTGTGGATGTTTGTTCAGTTCCTGAACAACCAAAAAATATTTGACTATGGATGTATGGATATCAAAAATCCTGAATGGTTTTGTGGGAATATCAATCGACGGTGCTATAATGGTACTACTGATGAACGGCAAGTAAATGAATGATTGTTTGGAAACGAGCAATATCTATGAAATTTTTGGTAGAGCCTGTCATCAAGTAAGTGCTTAATCGCTATCTGCAAGAGGTTTATAGGAAAAAAAACACACGTTAGGTGATGTTGAATCAGTAAAATCGCATATCAATTGAACAAAATAATATAAACATGAATAAGCAATTGACAATATTAAATAAAAACATGAATTTTATTCAAAAATCGAACACTTTTAAAGTTTGACTAAATCATATGTAATTTCTTAATATTCAATAAGCTGGTGATGTTTCGATGACAAGCTGTCTTCTCATACTTTGGCAGTATTTTGTTTTCAACATTCCATAGCTATTGGTTGCAAAAATTTGTTGATTGGAACTTGAAGCTCATTCGCTGTATTTGACGGACTGTTACCCTATAGGTGGAGAATAACGGACCGTTCATTTGACAATCCTGATGAAATCCACCCTAACGCTTTCAAATAGCCACACAGAAAAAAATCGCAAGGTGTTAAGTCCGAGGAGCGAGCAGGCCAAGAGATGGGTCCATTGCGCCCTGTAGTACATACATGACCTCAAATGTAGGCAGAAATCGCTATTTTTGCACTGTTAGGGATAGCCTCGAAACTGTACGGAACTAAAAAACATCTTGTGTACTTGTGATAATGAATGGCAGGCAGCAATTTTAAAAATCAATTTGGTGGCCTCAGGTGTTTTGCTTAAATTAAACACCGTCTCGTTGCCAATACCGGCAGCGTAACGTTGGCGGAAAAACCAGGAAATTCACTTTCCAAACGTAATTTATGGAAAAAGTAAGCGTGCTACTGCTAGCAGCTATGCGACGAAACCGTCTTAACTATTATTTATTGCGACATTCCAAGTAAAGTCGTGCACGATGTGAAGTATTTTTATTTGAAGATCGCCGGCTTGATACAAGATGCTGGTTAATGTTAACGCAGACAGGGCCAAGATCAAAGTTCAATGTTATCAGTAATGTGGTATAAGGTGGAATTTCGAATTTTCTGTTAGTTAAATTTAAAAAAGCTAAACTGCTGTATTCTGACCAACCACCTGAATACCTTGAAATTCATCCGAAGCTGAATTTTACCCCATAGACACAATACCAAATAGTCCGGGCAATATCTTCGCATCCGATGGGAAAATATTCTGATTCGGATTTTTTTGCAATCAGACTACTTTTTGGTGATTCGAGACATACTGAACAAAAAATGTGCTTCAAGACTTTTCTCGAAAATAGTTTTAGAGATACACGCGATACAATATTTAAAAAAAAAATAAGAAATATGTAATTTTTGATCCCCAAAAAACACGAAAAAATGAAAATTTTGATGTTGCCAATGTTCACAAGTATTCTTCAAATATCCAATTCCCGAAGCATTCTAGAACGTATTGCGATTCTATACCTGTGTTTTTTAATTGCTCATTGCTCGCTCTCAGTGTGAAATTTTGGAAATGGGTTGCTGACTTTCTCTCTGGTCGCAAGATACCCGTCGTAAATAACGGCTTCTCGCCTTCATCCGGCACTGTTCCTCTCACATATTAACTACCTCCTTTTATATATGATCAACCCAATCCACGGCTTTGCTAATGAAAGCACTCTACATGCAGGAATCCAGAGCGACAAGCCGATCTCTGCCTGTGAGCTGGAAAAATGAAGACTACCAGCGACCTCCTTTCTGACGAGAGACCTGGAGGTGATCACTAAAGACCGGATTTATATGTATTTACATGTTTTTACATATAAAATAATATTTTATGGTTTTTTCGGATGAACTCATGTAACATAATATTTTAGGTTTTTTCTACATATAATCCATATACAAAGACATACGCTTTAAAAAACATAAAATGTCATTTTGTTTTTTTTTTATTCAGACCAAACACATTTATTATTACTCATTGTTATTTATTTATTTATTTATTTATTTATTTATTTCCAACAGGTGAAACCCAATTACAGGAAACGCTGAAAAAATAGCAATTAAAGAGACATGGTTCTTGGACTTAAATCTATAGTATCACACATTCTAAATAAGATTGGATGATCTATAACAGTTAATAATCGTTGCACAACTGTCACTGTAAATATCACACGATTCAGTAACACTGTTCATGACGCAGCACATGAAATTAATTGGCGATTTTGTCATAACATTTGTACGGCCAGCTTGACAATAGAATGCCATTTGTTGTCGACTCCCTAGCCTTGGAACGCGGAAACATATTTTTTCAAGTAAATTTTGACAGTCAATTTTGTTGTGAATGAGGCCATACAAAAACGACAAAGCAAATATGTTTCGTCTTGTTGACAGTGAATCCAAATTGAAAGACTCTAATAGGGCACTATGGTCACAACCTCTTTCTGGATAAGAACCTGTGCATTTAAGGTGAAAATACTTTACAGCTTTACGTTGAATGGCCTCAAGGATCACGACAGAATTTTGGTATATAGGAGACCAGATCAGAGTTGCATACTCCAACTTGCTCCTGACAAGAGTAAAAAGTAAAGTTATTAATGTATCAACATTGGAGAAACCCTTCCAGTTTCTGATACAGAAACCAAGTAGTCGAGTGGCAGCCGACGAGATATTGAGTATGTGCTCAGTAAACGTTAGCTTGGTATCAAATATGACTCCAAGGTCTCTATAAGAGGTGCATCTGTCTATAACCTGACCATTGATGTTATAATTATCATAAATTAAATAGTTCACTTTTCTTGTATAAGTCATAACTTTACATTTCGAAACATTCAGACTGAGACAGTTTCGTAAACACCATGACGAAATTAGAGCTAAGTCATCTTGCAACATGACGCAATCCTCGACTGTCTTGACTGACGTGCAGATTTTGAGGTCATCAGCGAAAAACAAATGGAAACACTTCAGTTCAAAAGACAAGTCATTAATAAATATTAAAAACAATAATGGACCTAGATTTGAACCTTGAGGTGTAAACCTGACAACGGTGCGCAAATTATAAAGACTACAAAGCATATCGGTGATTCCCCCAAAGCATATCGGTGATTCCCCGATTAATAACTTGGCGCCGTGCCGTGCACCTGTCGCAATCTTTATTTAGAAAACTTGAGTAGTAAATAAACACGTATTATTCTTCGCTGCCGTTTAATATTTAAAAAGATCGCCATGCCGAAAGTATCAAGCTCTAAAGCTGATTTACTTAAGAAAAAGCAAGTGAGTATATGTATTAATATAATATACTAAGTGACATATAAATCCGAACACCCAATTTAAATGGTTTTATTTTAATAGAAGTTGGTGAATATATTTATCTTACTGTAAATAACAAGTGAAAAAATGTTCAGCCTTATCAGTTGGACATTCCGGTTTTTATACTGCTTTTTTTTAATTCACTAACGCTCTAAAAATGAATATTTCAGCCGCAGTAAAGAATCAACGTTGGCGAATTTTGGTTCTTGACATCCTTTACGATCGGTTACGCTGCCTAGAGTACGGAGACCTGTACGATTTCGTCAACTTAGTGAGTTTGATAGGGGCCGTATAGAGGGACTTCGGGAAGCTGGACTTTCTTTTCGGGCAATTGCAGTTAGAGTGCAAAGAAGTGTAGACACTGTGGTTAGGTGTTGTCAGGCATGGCTTCGAGAAGGCCGTACGCAAAGAGCAAGAGGCACTGGACGCCGCCGTAGAACAACAGACCGTGAAGATCGCCGCCTAAGGTTATTAGCCTTAAGGGATCGTTTCTCCACTACCAGGTCCATTGCAAATGAATGGTTTGCAGAACACGGAAGACCTATTGGCATGCGAAGTGTTTACCGACGAATGAGAAGTTTTGACTTGTTTTCATACCGGCCACACTGGGTCCCTGGTTTGAGGTGCTATAGCTTATTGTTCCACGTCACCTTTAATCTTCATCAGAGGTAACATGAACGCGCAGCGTTATATCCACGAAGTTCTAGAACCCCATCTTTTACCCTATCTTGACACCCTGGCAGATCCAACTTTCCAACAAGATAATGCCTGACCACATGTTGCAAGAGTCACAATAGACTTCTTTCAACATAATGATGTCACATTGTTACCATGGCCACCAAGATCTCCCGACTTATCCCCAATTGAGCACGTGTGGGATATGATGGGTAGGAGATTGCTCAATTTGCAACGTCCTCCTCAGACTCTAGAAGCACTTCGAGAGGAGTTGGTGGTTGCCTGGAATGATATACCACAGGAGGACATTGACCACCTGATCAGAAGCATGCCTAGGCGCGTTGGAGAATGCGTAGCACATCAGGGTGCATCCACACATTATTAAAGGTCAAAGGGCTTTAAAGCAGTGCAATCATTTTGAAATTTTTATCATTTACTTATTATGCTTCATTAAGTACTTATACAAAATTTTATTAAAATAAAACCATTTAAACTGGGTGTTCGGATTTATATGTCACTTAGTATATGTTATTTCAAGAAAGAGATTTTGAAGTCAGCGCTAACTAGCATGCGTCTGCTGTACTAGGGTAGAACATACAAAATAGCTCGTTGTCTATGGCATCAAATATTGATAATGCTATTTAGATCAGCAACCAATACCGTATGTAAAGTGTACTTGATACCGGTCAGATCAAAGCATCCTAATTTACTGACACAATACACGATCAAATTGAGGGCAACTTCCCAGAAGCTAAGTGCTGATATACCGGGTGAAATACCTATAAAGGTCCTCGGCTGTTTCTCATGAAAGTGTATACAAAGTGTTTCCCAATTAAGAGTCAACATTTAAGGGGAGATTTTTGGCTCATTTTATTAAGAAAACTTTGAGTAACCAAGCTGTAAGTTGTATACAAAATACAGTTCTGTGTCTCAGTTGTCGTTCTGTGATCATTCTGGCACCCAGTTCTATAACATATACATAGCTCTTCCTGGAAGATCGATGCACATATGAGTATCTTTTGTTATTAGGTTAACTTGCTGTTGCGACTCATTCCTGTGTGGGATTGTCATTGAGTAGGGCTTAGCCCTTACCACCGAGAGTACAAGGCCTAACAACAGACGCGTGACGTCACCACGAGTAGGCCGGTCGGCCGGCCGACATCACGGCGTGCCGTACATCAGCGCTAGTGAATAATATATTATTGCAGCATATTTAATATACGCTACCTGATGTAAATAACAAATAATTCAGAAAAGTGTTTTTGGTATATGAAAGCAACTTGGTAGAAAATATTAAAGTAGTTATTAACTATTTTCACCCTGATTTTCACTGATATTTCATACAACATTACGTGCACATTACATAGAGAGTTGATGTTATAAAAGCTTGCTAAAAATGATAAGTTCTTCAATGAATAACCCCATGTTAGTCACAGCCGATCAACAAAATTTATTTAATATAATATATTTATTAGAGGTATAATATAATGCTACTTGAAAGTTATATAAAACATGTAGTGCTTGTAGAACAGTTGTGTCCAGCAAGAACCAACGAGGAGGTCTGAGGTAAGCTCTTGCCAGGAAAGGAATAAGGAAGATGAGGAGGAAAAAGTGTAGGATAAATGATAAGAAAAACAGGTAAAATCAAAGTAAAATAAACAACAGAAAAAACAATAAATAAGTGCTCCATGGCTCCTAGTAAATCTATATGAATGTGGACTGATTGTATACAACATAGAGCAAAACACTATTGTTTCTGATGAGTAACTGTGTCTGTTCTTCTGACTAATAGCAAGCTTTAGTTGCTCACAGATAAATTGAATAACAGTGTGGGTCTCTTCATCGGTGAATAGTTCTTTTTTTTATACTCCAACCACCACGAAGGCCTAAGGCCTAAACACCCATTGGGTACCGTGGTGCTATAAGGGGATACAGGGGAAAGGGGGAACGCCTCACGGACTCTGGCGAGGGAACACATGTGCATGCAACATGCACACATTCTGTCTCCGCCGGGTGGTACCTCCGCGTTCGACAGTCAGAAACCGTCTACCACCTACGGACAATCACAATATCCATAGCCAAGAGAAAAATTTCTCCTGGGACGGGACTCGAACCCGCACAGCGCACGGCGACTGATCAGGAGACCGAAGAGTCTACTACTGCGGCCACAGCTGCTGTCTGTGCCGTTCTGTGCTATTTAAAATATTGCAAGCATGGTTGATAGTGGCTCTGAACTGGTCTTTACCTGAATATTCCCTCGAAGCATCTGCATTCTCAGAAAGAACATGCAGAACATCATCCAAGTGGTGTATATTAGATAATAAAAATGGAGTTTTATATTACCTGAGTTGAGTAACAATTCTTGGGAATACATATACGTTTTTACATTGAGATCTTTATCAACAATTACAGAGTGAGTTATGATGGGTGCTGGTTTATATTCTAACTTAAACAAAGTAACTTTATCCTGAACAATTTTATGCCACCCATATGGGCATTGCCATGAACTGAAAACTGTTAGAAAGTCAGAATAATTTTGAAAACAAGTTGATTTTTGATAGGAGGAATAATCATCAATGCTAGTTTGCAGTGCTTTAAGTAGTTGTTCTTGTTCCTTGTCCCTCAATTTCTCATCTCGGCTTCTTCTGCTTGATATGTCCTTTGAAAGGTATTTTGGACAATTTGCAAAGATACTTGGAATTACATCTGCCTTTAATTTTGAATACTTAAGGGGTACAGTAATGGTCCTACCTGTCTTTTCGTCATGGAAGGTGGATTCCCAAATGATGCTGTCTTCAGCAAACTGCAAATTACATACTCGGGTGTATTTTGTAACCACTAAATCACTACGAGGGATTGCATTGAGCCATCTTTAACGACAGTTTTCGTTCAATGGAAACGAAAATACGTGTACCTTCGGACCCTTCCCGTAATTACCGACACAATTAGGAACGCAGCACTTGTAAGGCATTTTGAAAACTTAGCTAAACAATCGCGAAACACAACTATAAGTTTAAAACATCAATAATTTTCAGTTTACATAGCATAGCTCAGAATGTGAGGTTAGTTGGCGAGGTTGCCACATATTCCAATTTTGAATGGAATATTAGACTTCACAAGTGACAGATTGAACGTAATATCGAAAATGTATTCTTGACATACTGAGGCAGATCAGAAAGAATCATCACATCATTACTGAAGCTGCGCAGGCCCCGAGTACATCTTGGAAATTCGCCCACAGAGAGGTACAACTAATTAGTAGAGATTTCGATACTGCTATATCAAACCTAGATATGACAACACCCCAGAGAAATGGTGGCGCGGTTTTCTTGGCAGCCAGTCATGGCGAAACTCCATAAGAACATGCATAGGCCTACTCTGCGTGACGTTACAGGCTTTCCAGAGCCCAGTTGTTTGGCCTTGTACTCTCGGTGGTAACGGCTTAGCATATCTTGTTATCTTTAGCATTATATCAGAAGGCATTCCCACTGGGGTGCTTTTGCAATTTCACCAGCATGTCCGTCTCCTTCATGGTGATATTGTCCATTACACCATTTGCCACATGATATAAGATGACCTTCTTGCCTCTCCTTCCAGGTATATGTGCAAGAGGGTAGATTAAGAAGGACCTCCATAGTTGCAGTTGGTGTGGTACGAAAGGCACCAGTGATCAACATACAAGCTTCTCTCTGTATTGCGCTCAGCTTGGCTTGGACAGTTTTTTGTGCTGGCTTGCCCCGCGAAGCTACAGATCCATAGGTTATCATAGATCTAATGACCATGGTATAAAACCAAAACAGTTCTTTCCACAGACCCTTCGGCAGTTCCATAGCGAGATCCTTGCCTTCTTGAGGACTGCTTCCATATGCAAATTCCAGTTTAGTGTTTTATCTAAGATTGTTCCTAGATATTTCGCCTCTTTTGCAAACGGTACGTTTTCACCTTGGATTGTTGGAGGTTTAATCCCATCCAGTTTTTTCTTTCTGGTGAAAGGTACGATGACCATCTTTTGCGGGTTGATCGACATTCCTTCCCCTTCGCACCAATCCGCTATTGCGGTTAACACCTCGTGGAGTGTTCCCGAGATATGTTCCCCAGATTTCTCTCTGACTAGGACGACTAGATCGTCTGCATATGCTTGAACCTCGGCCTCCCATACGCGAATAATGCAATCAGATTATCTACCAGGAGCGACCACAAAAGGGGAGATGACACCCCTCCCTGTGGACATCCCCTGGTAGCTCTAAATCTGAGTGTCTCCCCCTGTAAGGATGTCGTTATGATTCTGCATGTCAACATGCTTCTGATCCAGCCGGAGATCAGAGGATTCACACCCCTGGAAGCGATTGATTCATTTAGGGATTCTGGTAAGGCATTGTTAAATGCTCCCTCTATGTCCAAGAAGACCGCTATGGCAATTTCCTTTTTTCCGAGGGCGCTTTGATGCTCGCAACCAAGCTGTTGAGAACAAGGTCTGATGATTTACCAGCCTAATAGATGTATTGATGCACACTTATAGGATGCCTGTCAAATGAAAAAAAAAATAGAGGATATACGAACTAGCATACAGTTCCAACAGACAGCTTGCTGTTTGCACTTTTGCAATGGTCGATTCTGGGAACATATGGCAAGGTATTCATATAAGCTGACGAATCCTATGCATGTATTTCATTGCTTAAAGGACAATAAATAATTTGAATTTGGATTTAATTGAAGGGACACTGGAGAAATAATCTAAGAGTACGTACCATTTAGCTTGTAATTGTAGGAAAAGAAAAAACGTTCGCCCTGTATAAGTGATAATTGACAATACGTCATATTTTTGCTCGTGAAAGTTTTCAAGTTTGTCAATAGAAAATCCGATTTAAAAACATGGAGATAGACTCTGGAGGTCAAAGTAATGATCCACCAGCGATACCGATGATGAATGGACCCAGCCAGAAGGAGAGAACAGAAATTAGCATAAAATCAAAGGAACTGATGACATTAGCTGTAGCAGACGAAAAGGACAGAACCATCCAGCGCCAGACCCTGATCATCGAAAGCCATGCCCAGCAAATACAGGAGCTGACTGAGACGAAGAAATCAAAGGAACTGATGACACCAGCTGTAGCAGACGAAAAGGACAGAACCATCCAGCGCCAGAACCTGATCATCGAAAGCCAGGCCCAGCAAATAAAGGAGCTGACTGAGACAGGGACCAAAACAGTAAAATAGACTGCCTGACCACCCAGGTAACACAGTTAATCAATAATGCAAATTTTAAATCTAAATCTGACAAGGCTGTCAATTTAAAAAGGCCTCTTGAAAATTTAACTGAAGTGACATCGACCGACGATGAAATACAGAATGACGGATTCATCCAGGCCAAGTTTAGGAAAAGACGCATCGACAAAGCGAACAAAACTGACAAGACGGATGACTTCCCACCTCTTCCAAAAGCAAAATTCAAGTTGACAGTCCCCTAAAAACTCTGCTTCATTAAACGTATCAACTTCTTCTGCCACATTATCTCAACAATCTCACGTTGCTGGTGAGTTGAGCAGCACAACACCCAGGGGCGAATCACGCCCATTGTTTTGCGTGATGCGACCAAGTGGCGAAATCTAAACTCCACCTTTATAAGCTTAAGCATTAAGATAGAACGGGCAGTTACCATTGATGCGGGAATCAGGATTTTTCCGAAAACTGAGGATGACTACCGAAGAATCGTTCGCCTGTTCAGGGAGGAGGACATGCCCCATCATACGTTCCCTCTACGAAATATTCACGCGGTAGTCAGAGTCATACCCGCAATGTTTTCGGAACAGGAGGTCAAAGAGGAATTAGAACAGAGTGGATATACACATTATATGACTCAAACGCAGTGGCGGCGTACCCATGCCTCTGGTGGTCGTGATACTGCCCAAGATTGAAAAGTTCCAGCAGCTGTTCAATGAACATGAGCTGCTGGGTCTAGCAATCAGAGTTGAAGTTCAGAAGAGCTCTAGACTTATTGGGCAGTGTCACCGCTGCCAAAAGTATGGTCATGCGCAGTCTTACTGCACAGCACCTCCCAATTGTTTAAAATGTGCTTCCGACCACATGACACATTTATGCCCCCTCACAGGACAAGAGGAGCGAAAGTGTGCGAACTGTGGAGGGGCGTATCCCGCTAACAGTCCCACTTGCAGATTCACCCCCAGGCGAAATCTGGAAGTCATAGCGCAAAGGCGCAGCAAGTCATACGTGGAGGCAGCCGTCTCAACATCTTCGTCTGCACCCTCTGTTCAACCCACTTTGAACACGCAGAATGTGGACCTAGCAACTGCGCTTAGGTCCCTTCAATAAATAATAACTCCCCTTATAAGCGCCACTCAGGCATTGCAGGCGATCTTTCCGCAGCCATTAAATGGCTAAGTACAATAGACAACATGCATTTATCAAAATTCTTTTTTGGAATTGTATGGGCCTAAGGGATATTCCCAAAAAACGGGAATTTCATCAAACTCTATTGGATGAGAGTATAGACGTAGCTCTGCTGCAGGAAACATTACTTAATCCGGGAGATCGCTTAGCTTTCTCGAATTATAATGATTATACGAGCTGACAGATTGAATGGTAGGGGCGGAGGCTTGGCAGTGCTCTTTAAACGTGGTATTGACTATTACAGAAGCACAAACGCCGAAATGCAAAGCATTGAAGCGGCTTCCGTGGTAGTCAATAATATGGCGGGATGCATTCCGTTGAAGATCACCTCGGTGTATGTCAGGTGCGGTGCCAGGCTGCGAGAGGAGGACTTGGAAGTCCTTCTGGACTGTTCGGGCCCTCTTGTTGCGGCAGGGGACTACAACTGCAAACACCGATCATGGCACTCAAGGCTTAACTTTACTTGTGGGGTTCGGCTTTACAACCATGTGATGCGACACGGGTATCTTATTCACAGCACCGAAGAGCCGACACACCATCCTTTCAATCACCATCAGGCACCGGATGTTATAGACTTTGCAATATCTAAAAACTGTTGGTTCAATATTGCTTCTAGGATCTTGTATGACATCTCTAGTGACCATCTACCTGTTGTTCTGGAGGTAGATAATGGGCATTTCGTGGAGAAGGAAACTCCTCCAAGGAAAAGAGTTGATTGGGAACTATACAAGTCATTTCTCAAAGAGTTTCCCAGCGTCCCGGTCATACATGATGAGAACGGAATTGATGCTGCTCAATCGACACGGCAGACCTTTTCTCCTTGCTGACATTCGTCGGAAAATTTCTGAAAAGAGGGCTGCGATTAAGCAAGCAAAAAGGTCTTGTCATCCTGATGTCATTCGTAGAGCGACGAATCTCGTCCATGAAGTGAGAAATGCACTCCATGATTTCCGCAATGAGCAGTGGAGCGACTTTCTGGAGGGGAAGCTTAAATCAAGTATTCCTCTCTGGAAAGTCACAAAATCGCTCAGAAACGGAAGGCAACAACAACTACCACATATTCATGGTCCTGGAAGCATAGTTTTCAGGACTAAGGATAAAGTGGAGGTTTTTCCTGACGTCATGGAAAGGCAGTTCTCTCCCAATTATGATCTGGACAATGACCTTGACGAGGAACGACAAATTGTAAGATCTGTCAGGAGATACTTCAGAGTGAATGGCGATACCAACATCGGTGCTAGCATCGGTGACTCCTTTTCAGAAGATTCTTCTACGGAAGACTCTTCAGATGAATCTCAGCATAGCACATCAACGAAATCCTTTGAGATTCCGTTTTGCACACCAGCAGAGCTCCAAGGCCACATTAAGGACCTAAGGGTGCATAAAGCACAATTACTAACTCCCCTTGGTACGTGTCAAATGGGACTATTCTCAGAGATCTTGATATCCTATATTTAAGAGATTACGTAAAACAACAGGCGCGGCGGCGTTATAATCAAGCGGAATCGCACAGCAACCCTCTGTTGCGTGATTCAGTAGACTACACAGTCGAGCAAGTTCGCAAACATTCCAGGCCGTGCCTCGCACTGTGATTAAAATTAAATTGTAAATTCAGACCAGCCAAAATTATTTCAGTATACAAAACCGACCAAAATTATTTTTTGGAGTTACAAAATAATTCGAGTACTAGTCAAAGCAATAATGCTTAAGCTATTTCAAATGATTTACTTCTTTTCTTTGCTCTATTTCTTCCTTCCTTTCTTTCCTTATTGTCCTTTTCTCCTTAAACATGTTTGGTATCTGGGTAGCCAAACTTGACAGACTAACAGACCGAAGAGACTTTTAACTAAGAGCAAAGGTCCACCGGACCGCTCTGACGAATAATGACGAATATTCAAGAAAAAAACATTTACATATTCGAATAACTGCCCCGGTAAGTACGACATGCTGATAAAAATGCATTGCCACCTAGGCCATCATAGAAGGCAAACCTGTATCGGTGAGATTACTTATCTTCGTGACACATACATATTGCCAGTAAATGGGATTATAATCGGTAATAATGTGTTCTACCTCCCAGAAAGTTGACGGGTAATATTTCAAAAGGTGATACTGCAATATTATCAACATTGTGACATATGGAGTTCCGAGAATCCTGCTTAGTTGGCGACAAATTTCCAAAGCCGAATGAGTATAAATCATTGTACCCTAATATCTCCTGTCCTATACAAGGTGTCCGCAAAAGTGGGGTTTTCCTTTACACGACGTGTAGATCTTGAAAACATAAGCAATTTTTCTTAGTACCATATTCACCAATGTCTTAAGGGAACCGAGATAAAGGGCTCTGCAACATCAAAAATATCTGAATACCGTCCTGTAGCCGCGACATCACCGATTGGTACAAGGTCACTAGCTCAACCCGACGACAAAACTGGGTCGGGGTCAGTGTGTCAGGACAGTATGCAACCTTCAACCGACGGTTACGGTCCCGCGTGTAGAGGTAATCGCGTAGACGAGAATCCCTCAACAAGCACAAGAGACGTGGCTAGAGAAGTGCAAGTATCAAAAACTAAAGTGTGGCAAACGCTGCGTGAAGAGGGGTTGTATCCGTTTCACGTCCAACGTGTACAAGCCCTTCAACCTGACGATTTTCCAGCAAGAGTGCGGTTTTGTGAGTGGTTGTTGCATCAACATGACAATAATCCGGACTTTTTGAAGTGCATATTGGTGACAGACGAATCTACGTTCACGCGTAATGGGGTGAATAACTTTCGCAACACTCATGTTTGGCCAGTAGAAAATCCGCACGCTGTACATCGGGCACATTTTCAACAAACATTTTCGGTGAATGTTTGGGCTGGCATGGTGAACGGTATGCTCATTGGACCATTTATTCTCCCAAATCGATTGGACGGGATGCAATACCTAGACTTTTTGCGCAACATTTTGCCTTCCTTGTTAGAAGATGTGCCATTAAGTGTAAGACAACCAATGTGGTTTCTGCGTCTGCTCGGTAGCGCATCAGCTGATTTCATTTTCTGTTGGAGCGGTATGATTTCGGGCAGAGTCATACTTAGCCCTTCTCGTCAACTGGAGAGTGAGTACTTTTTCCTTTATTTTTTTTTACTTGGTCGCCCTCGTTTCACTACACTTTACCTTTGTTATTTCAAGGGTAGTTGTTTCTTGAAAGGGAAACCCCAACTTTGCCGACACCCTGTATACAGGGTGCCAAATTTTTTGTTATTTGTTTCAAATGTTCCATAAACATTAAAATCTGTGGACAAACGTTGACCACTAGAGACTAATTTTAGTTCATCTATAGAAACTAAAAGTGGACATGCTATCTTGAATATGGATCTTTGAATAGTACTCCAAGCAATAATAGTGTTTATTGTTTCATTTCAATGCAATAATCATGCATATGGAGGCTCGTAAGTGTAAGGTCCGACATCAACGTTGCCATTAAAGTCTTAAAACGATATTAGCTAAACCTAGATTTAAAGATGTCATTGGACATGGTTACACTGTCGGTATCCAAGCATTTAAATTGCCACAGAGCACCATAGCTCTGTGCGTAGTCCATTTACGACTGACGGTAAAAATGGGTCAAAACTTCGACTTACAAATACTGTACAAAATTGGGCATGTCAGCTCCAGAGAAACATTTTTACCTGTGCGAAAACATGGAATCAACATAGAATCAGAAAGCAGTGGTGCAGGGTCATGATTATAGGTAGGTATTTAACTAATATGGTGAAAAACATCAAAATAAAGGTGTATGTAACTATTATGGTGGATAAGGTGTAAACGAGAAAAAGGATAGATTTGATTATTTATTGGAATCACTACCCAGTAAACCTCCTGCCATTTTATTTATTGTATATCTATGCCAGTCTACGCCAGAGAAAATGTCATAACTTCCTTAAATTTCAAGTTATCGGGGCAATTCTTTGAGATTTGTAAGAGATACCAGTTATACTATTATATGCAAGAAAGTAGTAGTTTTGACTATATGAAACTACCAAGTGCAGCTATCGCTTTGGCATAGTACAATTGGCCAATGAAGATATAGATAGAAGCTGGCGTGGCTGTGATCATGTACTATCTAGCTTTAAGTTTCAACCCATTATTTTTTAGTTCCAGCACATTGTATGCTAAAATTATTCA